GCTGAAGATCTTCTCCAAAGCGGTCCTGTAATTTTGAATAATATACAGTAGCTATGTGTGTATTTTAGTGGCTATACTGCTGGTCAAAGTTCTATTCGGAAACTAAAAGGTGATCTTCGGAAACTTTACGGTTTTCTTCGGAAACTAATCTTCAGAAACTTTACGGCTTTCTTCGGAAACTAATACTCGAACTAAAAAGTGATCTTCGGAAACTTTAAGGTTTTCTTCGGAACCTATTCTTCGGAAACTCTACGGTGTTCTTCAGAAACTAATGTTCGGAAACTACAAAGAGTCGAAGAGCAACATCAAACCTGCACGAAAAACTTTCTGCAGATCGCAAAACAAGCATGTATATACCGTAGCCGTCACAAGGTACATCAATATCCCACCCACCTACCCACCCACCCACCCAGTGCTCCTTCATGCAAATTGGCTGCAACATTGTAAAAGTTCTGAGGAATACTTTCTAAAGTTAGCTTTCTGAAAATTGCGAAATAGTCTCTGAAGATCGCGGAATAGTTTCTGAACATCGCAAAATAGTTTCTGGAGAATAGTTTCTGAAGAGTAGTTGCGGAAGAGTACCAAATAGTTGCGGAAGAAAAGTTTCAGAAGAATGGAGAGTTGCGGAATAGGACTTTGTTCCTATACTGCTATACTGTATGTCTATGGGTTGCTGGACTCTGGACCAGCATGGAGCCTCATTGAAGTTGTAGATCAGAACTCCCTTACTGTAACTCATGTCCTGCCAGGTTCCAAATGGCAAACATTTGTATTTTTTTGCAAACACCACAACCGTTCCAAGTGCCCCTGGAGTGTATGACAATGGATGACATGCAAAGTCTGAATCGAACCTCTTGCGTAGGACGCTCCGCTTCGATCAGGCTACAGGCCCTTTGGGCTACAGCCAAATCTTGCAAACACGACACTTGAGATTTGGAGACTTCAGATTTCTGGTGAGCCAAGGAGAGTCTCCTCTATTGAATTCGGCTGAGCAAGCTTTTCTGATCTATGTTGCTTCAAGTAGAAGTTGAAGCACATTCTGTCCATACCCTTTAGGAACTGCAGCTGCGTTCCATGGATCAGCATTGTCTTTTTCATCTACTTCCATCTGTTGGTCGGTATGCATAGGCATAGACTTGATCTTTTCTCGGGCTTCCATCGGTTGATCTTCTCTTCGCATGCTCGGAGGGGCGAATCTGTTTCTCACCTTCGGACATATCATTTGAAGCGCTAATTCCCAACAGGAGCAAATCAAAGTGACTAGAGTAGAATGAGTAGGTAGAAGTAGTCTTCACTCAATATGCGCACTGCCCCGGTTCATACAGGGGAGCTTCAAACGCCCTGACTCGGATTTCCAACAAAAGGGTTCAGGGTTGAACGTGATTGTACAATATTCTACACTTGATTTGGTGGAAACCAAGGCCACTCGAACAACAGTGCAGCGATGAAACTGCAGTGTAGTCCGGTGGGAGTGCAGAAGTTCAGTCAAAGTGGTGCAAATCATGTCACTCTTCTTGCATTCTCTGACTTGATACGTGCACAATGGATATGAGACTCTGACATATAAGATATAATAAACATCGGGTGTTTTCTAATCTTCACGCGCTCCTTTTTACGTGGAACGGCATCAAACCCTCTTGGTCCCAGCTGCCGGTGTCCACTCAAAGCTTGCTCTTTGTACCTTCGAACACTTGAAACATTTTGTCTCGCAACATCTCGCAACGCTTTACCTTATTTCACTCCCTGAGGAGATACTTCGGTAGAGCAGCACGCCATGACATCGTGCGCCTGTATTGCGCACCAACCATGCAAGCACTTCCTGCCAAGCGAGTGGCGTGTCAAGGGTGCACTTGGAGAATCCACAACCGTACGGACCGTACGGGAAGTAGCTGAGTTGTTGACCACACTATCTTAGATATTTAGACTTGCAGTGCTGGAAATATATAACATATGCACATTTATAATCAAAAAAACTATAGAAAGCTGTGATTGACACTCTAAGAGCATGTCTTGCCACAATGTGAACTTGCCCCAAAAGCTCAACTCGCGAAACTAATGAATGTAAAGTACAAATAGAACTACAACGCCCCGGAAAATCACCCAAACTAATTTCTGCCTGAACAAGGTAGTTGGGTGCTAAACCTGCCCCCAGTTAATCCGAGCCCCACAACCAGGTCACTTCTACTACTACTACTACTACTACTACTACTACGGCTACCACTGCTACCACTGCTACCACTGCTACCACTGCTACCACTGCTACCACTGCTACCACTACTGCTGCTACTACTACTACTACTACACTACTACTACACTACTACTACACTACTACTACACTACTACTACACTACTACTACTACTACTCCTACTACTCCTGCTCCTGCTCCTGCTCCTGCTACTGCTACTCCTACTCCTACTACTACTACTACTTTCATATACTGTAGTTGCTTTCATGTACTTGCCTTCAGTTTTACAATCTTTTGTCGCGATCTGCAGGACTTGATAAAACCAGCTATTACAGTATCAGTATTAGACATTAGCTATTACACATGTGACTTGAACCCCTTTTGAATTTGTCCTCTTTGGTCTGACTGCGAGCCTTGCTTCACTGGGCACGTCAGCAATCAAAAGAAGATCAACATGGGCAGCACAGTAAATCTCAGGCACGAGCTGAGAGTTCCAAAGTTGCAACTGTCGACCTGGTGAGCAAGCTAGAAGGAGCCCAACAAGTAGCATCAAGTCACCACTGAGAGTGTACGAAACACATCCACCTTGAAGAAGCCAGTGGCCCTTGCTCGCCTCTTCTTCAACGCTTCTTCGGTTTCACGGGCAACCTCCACGGTGATCTAGAGTGCACCAATGGCTCAAAACTACTGGAGAACAAACACAAGCGCCTTGAAGCCCTTGGACATTAAGAAGTTTGCCTTGAACATTTATTCTGTTTCAAATCAAGCCGGCAGTAAACTTTATTTGTCACATGGTTTCAACGTGTGGAACATGTGTGGAGATTGTAGGAATTGATGGCGAGCGTCCATCGGGAAAGCCACAAATGGATCCGCAGACCTGGAGCAAGTTCACTTGGCTTGCAAGCAATGCACTTCAAGATGCTTGCATTGGTAATCACACTCTTGTAAGGTGCTTGCACTGAAATATCTCTCTGTTTGCCGGCAAGCAAATATGCGAGCAAGTACCTGTCGTCAAGGCCAAACATATTGATTGCATCTCGATGTGTGAGGGTTTATTCTACACTTCACAGCACAATATCTGCAATTCTTTGCACCTTCACACTTCACACTAACAATCGCAAATTGGAGTTTTGATCCCAAGACACGTGTTCCGAATCGACCTGCGTCGCACAAACATCAAACGCACGCATGTCTTCACCACCTTCAACATGCTTGCACTGTGTGATCTGTTGCGCTACGGGGCGCACGGTAGGACCAAATCATACCTCGAGACTTTCTCGAAACAATGAAAACGGAAGAGCCACTGATGTGGTGGAGCATCCCTTTGAGATGTAGAGAAGCCTTCAGCGAACTAGGATTCGAGCGCGTAGTTGCTGTGAGGCGCGTTTGAACCCGTTTGCAGCCTCAGGACAATGGGCACGGCCGATTGATGTTCGTTGTCGAAACTATACTCCTGATTCATGACAAGTGATGCACCTTTGGATTCGCAGCACCACAGGCGGCAAACTCTCAAGTGCTTGCCCTGTGGATCAAAACTGATGGGACACCCAAAGCATGGAGTGCAATAATCTATTTATATATATAACCAAGAAAAGTGGAACAAGTTCCATTACTTGCTTGTAACATCTTGTAACCAAACAGCCGAACACACAACTGGGCGGGAAGACATCATCGTCGGTTCCTCTTCTGTCCTCCTACTCCTCCTCCTCCCCCTCCTCCCCTTCCCTCCTCCTCCGCCTCCTCCTCAACGCTGCTGACAGCAGCAGTTTTCATAATGTAGCAGTACCATCAGCACATCACCGTGACAAGAGACACAAAATGGAACAAGTGAGACCACTCGCACCAACCCGAACCCCGATATGGATCCCATCGCCCATCACATCGTCCAAGCATCCATGAAGTTTAGAACGACATGTACTACCACACTAAAGTTGTCCAGTGAAAGTTTGCACACTCTGGTTGCCAAAGCCTTGTAGGTCATCCAGAATTCCCTTTGCCACCTGCATTTTGGTGCTGCTTGCTCAAAGGAATGGGAAGTCTCACACACACACACGCACATGCACACAATGTTGCAGGGCTCTGCTAACACTGAATGGATTCGCCTCAGATTGAGAGCGCTTCAGCAGCTCTTCGGTGATGTCCGTCATAGGTGGATTCAGATCAGAAGGGAACAAGTACGTAGACGTAGCTTTTTGCGTGTGTGGTTGAAAGCAGTCTTGCAGTGGATTTGTTTGCTGCAGTGCTTGATCAAAACTGCCTTTCATCCAGTCTTGATTTCTGTGTGAACAAAGCCCTGATGCGGATGACAAGTCCGAGTGCTCTTTTTGTCATCTGAATGCAGCATCACACGATTGTCATTAATCATGGCTTCACCCTCTCCACCTACCAGCTACAGAAGCGCCATCTCTCGTCTCTCAGAAGGGACCTGGGCTCGTGGCATTCGGATGCATTCAGATGATTCATGCTGGAACTCAAGCCTACTCATCAGAGCAAAACCTCCTGCTCCTCCAACACCTTCTGTTGGGGAGGATCTCAAAGCGCCCTGTGACCACTTTCCACATAGATTCAGACTAATTCTGAATATTACGGTATATATTCTACACTATATAATTATCTGGCTTTTTTGACTGGAGCGACGGTTTCGACTCCCAAGCTTGGGTTGCTACCCATCACAAGCCTGTTGTGTCTGCATCATCCGTTCGTGCGCGTCGGTAGGACGTTCTGCATAAACCGTGAAGCCTTGGGCAAGCTGATCTGGTGAGGTGCGAAAAGGCTCGCTGCGACAAGCTGCCACGTCCACGAGGCTGCCTGTCTCTAGGTGTGATCAGGCAGGAAGGCCTATTGCAAAAGGCTGGGAGGCAACGCTTCGACATCTGAATGGACTGCACATTAATGCACACATATTATGAACCCTAATCCCGCTCTGGCAAAGGAAGTTCATGGCACTGCCTCTATCCGCTTGTGGCCACATCTGCGACAGAAATTTGAATCGGCGGCGTATGTGCTTCCGCATTTGATGCAAGTGGCCTCAGCCTGACCAGTGCTACAAATATGAACACATTTTGAACTCTTAGGATTTCTTCACATGCAGCACTGCAATCCCTATTGCGACTAGTGTATTGCGTGTGCCTAGGCCTAGAGTCTTGCACCTTTCTGGCTTGGAATGCCTAAGAAAACAACTGCATTTGGATCCCTGTATACCTTCTGTCTCTACCATCTGTAGGAAGCAGGAACTAGTCCAACGAGTCTCTTGTGCTGTGATGATGTCTGACATGCATCACTAAACAAGGAGTCTCCCGCAAAGCCTTGTTGCCAGGAGTAACCAGCCCACTGGCACCGTGGACAGGTCCTGTCACATGATCGCAGAACGTCTTCTTTGGTTGTCAATAATAGATCCTTAGAAACACACCCTCTTCGAACGTCTATCCTGTCTTTGTGCTCAAAGGCTTTAAATGTGTGCCTACCACCCTCTGGTCAAGCAAGCCAATGCAGGTAGCTTTCACAAAAATCAGCAACAAGGACAACTCAAGCAGTGCTTTTCGAGCCCGCCTCCAAGTGCCCGTGCCGGCGGCAGGCCCCTTTGATGAATGTGCTTCATTGGTAAGTCTGACCATCTGGTGGAACATTGAAGTGCTTGACACCACGTCTTCACTTAGATGCGACCGTGCCCCATATAAGAAGTCGCGGCCAATCCCAACCTTTTAAAGGACGTGGTTACTGCGGCCAAGGAGCACGGGACTCTGTGCGAGTGTGAGTGGACACCTCATTCTTTCATTTTGGTTCAGAATAGAGCACTTCAGTCGAAGCGATGCCCAAACATGTCTGACAATTATATCATAAATGCGGCAGTTTTTGTGTGCTTGAACGGAAGCAAAATACTCGATGTAGAAATGTATTTGGTCCTCAACTCGTGATGCTCTTATTTTTTCTGGTTTGCTGATCAATATATATATATGTATATGTACAGTGTGCAGTGTTTGCTGCAGGTTTGCATCAGTTGATTGTAGGTTGCCTTTTTCATAGGTTTTGCAACGTTTGCATCTCCTCTACTTGTTCACGGTCCTGCGCTTCCTTGCGGCCTCAGTGCCTTCCTCAGTGGCCTTCCTAGCCTCGGACCTTCCTCCTTGCCTTCGTTTGCCTCTTCAGTTCGTTTTGCTAATCATTCTTGCTTCCAGATGCTCCGCACAAGATGCCCTCGAGTTGCTGAGAGTTAAATGTGATTGCTTTGTGTTCTGAAGTTCTGAAGGCAAGAGTTACGTTTATATCAACGGGAGTCTGCTGGATGAGGTGAACATTGATTCACCATCCTTGAACCTTCTTAGAATTGTTCTGCTGTAGCTCAAACGACTGTCTTTCAATCTGGAGAAATCCCACACTCTGAGGTCCCAGCGCGGTTGGACACGTCGAAGGTGCACCTGCCAACTACAGTAATGCCCACGATCTCTCATTTTGGGAATGGTAACCCGCCTTCGATTCCAACTGGTCTTGGGCCAATCCTGAAGGATGGGATGCTTGCTGCCCGTGCTTCATTTGAGAATTCCAAAGTATGCCCGGGCCCCTGCATCAAAAAGGAGTTCCAAGGGTCCAAGACTTCACTTTGCTCGTGAGCTAAGGTTTGTGGGAGCCATCGATTCCCTCCCCTTTGGCTGACAAGAAGCGCCACTGCAGCTGCACGCGCTGAATTCTGCACCCCTTTGGCCTTTACGCAACAAGCCAACAACGCTCACACTTAAGTGGTCGTAGTCTTGGCATGTCTTGCATATGGCATATTTTCAGCAAAAGTAGGACAGAAAGATCTGCCGCCTGCGGTATGGGCGACAGTTGCCCAGGCACAGCTGTCTGTGGTGGGCTGCAACGCCCAGCCGCTGGTGGTGCACCGAGGAGAGCCATGATCCGATTCCTCAATTTGCATATTTAGAGCTTCTTGGTCGTGCTCATCATAGCCCTATGTGCTCCTCGACCCCAACCACAAATTTCTTGCCCGTATCATATCTATTTGCATTGCCAAAGCTCAGCTCCATTTCAGCGTTGTGAGTTTGAGCCCGCAACTCCTCATGGCAGCTGCTCAAGCTACTCAACCTAGTGAACAGCAACATTGAACTCTTCCGCTCCAAAGTGCTGACGCTGGTGCCTTTGCAAGCGTCAAGTGGCTATGGGCCACTGAATATGCCTCTTAGTGCAGTGCATGCAAAGTTCACTAGCAAGGACAAATTGGCCTCATTCACGCCGTTCACGGTATTGCTGAGCAAATTGGTACTGTGACCGAATAGCCTAAGTATGTTGGAAAAGTCTCCGCAGCAAGCCGCAACTTCATCAATTGGGGCTGCCCACTCCTCACTGAGGAGCTATCTTGCAACTAATCTGACCATTAACTCTCTTGCCATCTCTGCTGACCTTCACATCATCGCCGAATGAACCATTTGAGATGGTGTCTTGTTACAAAACTCTGTATCTCTTGAAACCTGAGTAGCTGCTCCACAAGCTCATGCAACTGTCGACGAGACGCTTCGTTCCTCAGAGGCTGTCACACCAACACCAAACAAAGACAATGCGCGCGGACACACACACACACACAATGACAACATCTCAGGATGATGCGGTGCATTTTTTCCAAGTTCACCAGCGGAAACAGCGAGGCTTCCAGTGCTGCCCGCCATACTTTCCAACATGCCATGCAATTGTCTCTCCCGGCCTCGCCCACATTTACGCTCCCAAGATCCGTCAGTCTCCTACTTCAGTGCTTGAAAAAAACAATTGCCAGCCTAGACCTCAAACAGTTTCAGCAGGATTGTTTTGTTTCTGCTCCTTGAGTTCTAGTGTTGGTGGACAGTCTGTAGTTTAGATATGCATATACAGATACATATAGAATATTTTTCAATATTCGTAGAGCCTCCAGATGTTGGAAAACAACATGTAAAAACGATTTTTTGGGAACATGATGATATCATGATGTTACATGGGAAATACAGCACCAAATCAAGGTTGCATTCATAGCCTCAAAAGAACAACGCCGGATCAGGCGGTGGAAAACGGTAAGCCGCAGCCAAGCAGGGGACAAGGCGGAGAAAACACCAGTGCCCGGCCAGTTCTAAATTTTTTTTATCCCTCTAAACTGCGTGATCGCAGGCCCGGACTGTGGCTGACCACAGTGAGACACTAACCGGCAAACTACGACCGAAGTGAGCGAACGAAAAGGGCAGAGAGAGGGACCTAAAGCGCACGAACCTAAATGATCCTAAATGCAGAAACAGCACCTAAGAGAGTGCTGCATGGGATCAGCCATGATCAGCCCTAGTTTCATCAACACAAATTGGCAAATCAATCTGGGAAAGCACCACGAAGTGGTCCCGGGAAGCTGTGCAAGAAAAGTCTGGAAGGAGGAGCACCTGGTCCCAATGCCGGAAGCACGAAAGCAAGCGCCAAGACTTTACATGGATCCCGAGAAAGCCACGCGTTCACTCGGGAACACGGACGGTCCAGGCCCAGGTTCCTCTTCAAGCTCCTGACCGTGTTAGCCATCATACGAATCTGATCGAACATAGGGGCAGGCTTGGCCAACTCATTACCTTTAACATTGCGAAATCTAGGGGGTTTGCGACCGCCGTGGAAGCTCTCCTGGCTGGAAACCAATTTTCCCTTGGCCATGAAGCTCAAGCGCTGTGCAAGCATGAGATGGCAGCGAGGTGGATCGAACGTGCGATCGGGACATGCCGAGCTCAAATCTGTGATTCACATTCCTCAACGTTTTTTGTTGGTTTCGGCTCCGTCGCCTGAAAGAAGGAGAGCCTTCACGAAAGGTCACGCGAATTCCGCCCGCTCCTCAAGGATCTGCCACGTCGGCAAGCCCTTGACATTTTTGAATTCAGCCCTCACCGCTCTCAAAGGAAACTGGTGGATGGAAAATCGTGGGCTCCGGCTGCTCGTGCTCATTGCACGCTGCGCTGAGCGCGCGCGCCGACGCCGTCGGTGAAACGCAACCCCGGAGCTTCTCCAAACTCCCTTGCTTAGCGCAGCAGCGCGCTGTCCGCTGCCGTGGGTTCTCGGCCAGGAAGCTCGTCCATGTTCCCGTCAGGGATCTCCTCCAGCTTCTTCTTCACCTTCTTGGCCGTCTGGCGCGCAAAGTCAGGGCTGTACTCTATGCTCCAAGTTCCCTTCGCGATGGTCTGGCGAAGGTGTGTAGCGTCCATTACCTTAGCTCCAGCGACGACGAACATGTTCAATGTAGCTGTCCATCGAAAGGTGGTCTGAGGTCGTCGAAGCTGTTGACGGAGGTTGGCCACTGTGAACACCAGTGACTTCTGTGCGCCAAATCCAATATCTTGGGCGAAGCGATCATACACATCTTTTGCGTCAGTGACTCCAACAAGAGGCACTCTGGTGATCTGGATGTGGGCGTCCTTGCCCTTGATGTCGATGCCTATGCAAGGAACTCTCGAATCGAGAGGGTGTATCACACTGCCCTGCTCGGCCCAGCGGAAGCAAGTCGGATGCCTCTGGACCAGGAATACAACGTAGCGTTGAAGTTGAGCCAGAGGCCAAAGAAGACGTTGTCGACCCTCGGCACTTGTTGAAGTCGTCCTCCATGACCGTCGCTGTAGTCCACCAAAAGGCTTCCTGCTTGTGCTCGAAGGGGCAAGAGGATCCTCACGGACTCTCGCTCCACATCAGCATAGGCCTCAGTCATGCCAGATAGAGTCGTCTCGAGCATCTGCTTCTGCATCTCCGTCAGGTTGAGCTTCTGCTTGAAGAACCAAGCCACCTCCGCGTCGTCCAGGGTGATGTTCTCGGCCTTCATCTCCGCCACCAGATTCCGGTAGCGAAGTGCGAGGTTCACCACCGACTCCACGGGGCCTCTCGCCTCTCTTCATGTTCATCAATTAGCGCTCACACAGCCCTCCCTTTCGGACAGAGACCGTTCGCCCCACCATGAAGTCTTGGGGCTCAGCACCAACTGTCTGAGTCGTCAACCTCCTCAGCCGGGATAGACCAACTCCTCCGGCTGGAGCTCCAATCCTCTCAGCTTCGCTGCACCTTTCTACTTCATTGCGAACCTGGCTGCCAAGTTGAAGTTATTCGTCTTCTCCAGCCGGTGGAGGTCAGCCACCACTTCACCATTCGGCAAAACTATCGAAGGCTGTCTGCTCGACCATCCCAAACTGGGATGGAGGCATCAAAGCCACTCTCCGACCAGCCACCAGCATAGCCATGCCCTCTATCATCCTTTGTGTCGTTGAGGATGTAATGCCTTCAAAACTTGCACCAAAAACTCTCCAAGGCGCTCTTGACCAAGAGGGTGTTCTGCACCTTGTCATAGGCGTTGTAGTCCACTTCTGCTTGAAGGCGAATTTCGCCAAGCGCGTCACTTCCGCAGGTCGGCCGAAATGGCTCGAATGAACCTGCGGTGTTGCTGCTGCCGTGTCGTGCGTGCCCTGCCCCGTTTTGGGGCTCTGCTACCACTGCGGAATCTAGGGGGTTTGCGACCGCCGTAGAAGCTCTCCTGCCTATAGAAACCCAATTTCCCTTGGCCATGAAGTTCAAGCGCTGTGCAAGCATGAAACGGCAGCGAGGTGGATCGAAGGTGCGATCGGGACACGCCGAAACCAATGGAGCTCAAATCTGTGATTCACAAGCATTCCTAACGCACTATGCCGATCTGAGTTGTTTAATCTTACCGGCAACACTCAAGCCAATATCAAGACCTGAAAACTTTCGAAAGCGGAAAACAAGCTCAAGCCACGAAATGTCACAAAGCCGAGGAGACTTCACATCTCTATATACTCCATTTCAAGCTACGAATCAACTGTCAAAGCTTTTCCAGGTAGATGGGATCATCAAGTCAGGTGCGAGACTAGGCAAGCGAAGCACTGGCAAGAATGTCAACACACGCAAGTCGTCAGAACACAACGTTCCAACATCCTTCGAAGGAGAGCCCTTCTTATTTTGGAGAAAATTAAAACACACTTGACGTGAAACTCGGCAAGTTTTGGGGACAAACTCCGCTCATGTTCTTTTGGCAATTGCACGTATTCTTCCAGACTTCACTCTGCTTTGCAAGCCACAAGAACAAATCAGTCACGCTCAAGGCATTGGAAACACGCACCATAAACTCCTGGGATCATAGCCCAGCTGATGCGCCAAAAGTTCTCCACACCTTCCATGCGACGCAAGCAATTAGGAGAAACGCAACATGCAAAATAGGCCGCTGGAACCTGCAAACTACGCGATGACATCAACAAGCCTGGCGAGCTCACCTTGGTAGAGTACCAAGTCCTGTATGGATGAGTTCGGCAGATTGATATTATCATGCATGGTCATCCCGTGAGAAACCATGGACCGCAAGCAGGCTCTGCCTAGTTGACCTTCTATGCCATGGTACTTCCCAATGCAATATTAGATACAATAGCTGTGCGTGCAATGGAAACTGAATAGCTTCGAAGACAGAAAAGCAACAACTGAGCTGGTTAGGTGAAGGCAAAAGAAAAGCGGGCGAGGAGCAATAAGAAATAAGACGCAGCATGACCAACAATAGCGGCAGGGTCCACAAAAGCAACACACTACCAGGCCCAACAGTAACAACAAGTGCAGGATGACCAGGAGCAGCAAATAGAGCAGCAGCAAGAGGCAACAAGAGAAGCAAAAGCAGCACTCAGTAGCATCACCACCAACAACCAAACTGTTAACGACAATGTATCGGGAGCGTATGTGGCCCTGCATTCTGCACAACACCTTGCAATTGGAGTCTTTATGCACTTCCCGAAGCAGTATTATAGAATAATTAATCAATGATCAATGAAGCAACCGCAGCAATCAAAGCGCAACATGGAAGGGATCATCCAACCTGCCGATGCTGTTCGAGAACAGACGCGTAAAAGCTCGAACTTTAGCAGAATGCAAATGGACAATGGGACGAAGTACAGTATCACTCACTACAACCAAACCACGTACAAGCACCTCCCAAACACACTGACTGAACATCTTCCAACTGTGTTCTTCTCCTTTACTTCCGTTGTTTTGCATGTGCAAATCTTGGCGATCCTCAACTGGTTCAAGCAATCCTTATCTCATCGGGCTCGTCGTTCGGTTAACATGCATGACATCTTCGCTTGTCGTATATGGTCTCACTTGCTGATCACTTGCATTTTGGCACTTGCTGCATTAAGTTGTTGTATCATTCTTTGACCACCTCAAACAGCAACTACGCTTGCATTTCTGATTGTCTAAGGTGCAATGTGCACATGTTGTCACAGCGTAGCACAGGTTTAAATTGCTAGCGGCTAGCGCCAGCTTTCCTCGCATTCTTTCTATATAACCAAAATGAATCTAACTAGCACATACTAGCACCCACTGGATTGGAATTCTCACCATAATTAACAAACCATTGTTTTGTGTTCATCCCGTGCAGCAACCCAGAGTCTCCATGCGAAAGCGAAGGAGTGAAACGGGTCAGCTTGTCCTCAGTCATGGCACTGACCTGCAAGCAGCTAAAAGGCTGCAAGTCCGCTTGCACATATGAACTTTCTGAATCAACCATCACGAGGATTTCTGCAACTTTCTCTGTATCCCAAAGCACCAACTATATTTCTTAAACATGCTCAACACCCAAAGTTCTTGCGGAAGAGTTTCGACAAAAACTAGTTTCTGCTGTGCCTCGCGCTCAAACTCGAGGCACAGCCTCACTTCTAAGATCAAGGTCATTCCTCCACCAAAGGAGTCAACATCAACTAGATCGGCTGTACAGGGCCAAACAAGGCCTGTGTCGACTTGAATCCCAACAGCTCTGCAACCTTTGCAACTGCAGTAAAGAAACGTTTACAACTGCCCTGGTTGGCCAAAGTTGAAGTCTTGGTGCTGCCAGCACACTGCTCCGTCAGCTGAGCCATCAAGTTCGCAGCAAACTGACGGAAGGCTGTGACCTTTCGGGGGAGCTTTCCACTCGAGACATGTCTCATGTACAAGGGTTGACATTACATATATAAATGAATGGATTTAGAAATACAATTGAAGACTCAAACCTTTGAACTTCTTTGCGTGACATGGTCATAATCATAGAGCAAAATAATACGACGATTTGAAACGCTGTGTTGGTGCAATTTGAATCCACTATCACGCCACCCTGCACATCAGATTTGCAGGGCCTTCACAGGGATCCGCTGCTGGTGTTCCTGATCCAAGATCGCCATGAAGTCAGGAGCTGCAAAGCAAACTGCAAAAAACACAAAATACACGACAGCTCTCAATATTTTGCATGTTCTCGATCCACGTGGTTTGGCTGGTTGCTCTTGAGTGGAATTTAGTCAGGTGGAAGGTTGCCCGCTCTCTGATATCGTTCAAGAGTATGTGGGTTCGGGTTTGCGTGGCTTACGTAATGCATTCAAGGCTTGCCATGAAAGTGCTGGGTTAGTCTTGTATGAGCAGGCCCGCACGAAGTGCTGGAGGCATGTGTCTGAAACCCAAACACACCTGTGGGCCTTCTTCACGAGATGTAATTAATGATTAATATGGTTTTCTGTCTGTCGAACACCGCTGAGTGGTCTGCAAAACTGATCCCTTTCAAACTCTTTTAGTGAGTATTGAACATTCTCGAAGCACTTGAAGCCGCAAGGCGCGTACGAACCATTGGGACGTCAGCAAGTATCGGACCATGCGTTGGATATGCTGGGTATTGCATCATTGTAAGCGTTGTAAGCTAGTATCAAGCTACTCCGAAGCTTGTATTAGTTGTATTGCGTGATGTTGAATGTTCGCTTCTATAAAAGCCCTATATATATATACACATGGTCTATGTTTGATTGGTATTCAACAAAAGCTGTACTGCAGCTGCATCCAATTGGCATTCACTTCATTTCACTTCTTTTTGCCAGTTGACCAATCAGGTCGAAGCATCTGAAGCTAAAGCAGCTAGCTCGTTGACCTTGCCAGGCAAAGGAGCTCTTCGACAATCAAGAACTTTTCAGGAGACCAAACTCAGCATGGCCAGAGTGCCTATGCAAGGTGAGCTGAAAAAGTCGTTGCTTCGGAACATACCTGAAAGGTGGATCAACGTCAAACACATTCCAAGACCTTCTTCATGCGTTCGCAAAGCTGCTATCAGGGGTACACCATGTTCGAATACTCAGTGGTGCCACGCCATCTGGAGTTGACCTCGGATATGACTCAAATCTTTGATCAAAGGACCGCAAATTGTCTTGCGCCATGACATGGTTGACAGTTCTCACGAATCAGCACTGATGGATATGATGTTTCACCCTTGTACATATGCGTTGGAATATATTGGAATACTAGGCTTGAATGAGTCTTGAGTCCTCTATCATCATAATCACAATCATCTATCCACGGACCCACTTCAATGCTCTGCGCCGTTTCAGCTTTTCTCACCCTTTCTTTGAACTTTGGGGGGTGGTCACACCAAATTGCAGTAGTGGTTACTCTGGTTTTGAACTAGCTCAGTTTTGAGCTTCAAGTTTCCCTTTGGAAAGCTGGGCCTCTAGCGTAATAAGTCTGCAGCGAGACATATCCAGGTCCTGGTGCCTGCCAGGCCGACTGCCATAGACTGCCCAGCATCTTGGAACAAACAGGAACAGCCGGCCACAGTGCCCAGCTGTGCCGTCCTCCTCCAACCATGAAACAAGGGCGGCTTGGATCGGATCGGGCAGGACCAGTGGTGTGGTTTCCTGGGATCAAGGGAGCTAAGCCGAGAGAGGAACAATGAATATCTTGCATGGAATGAATGGACCTTGATGTCTAAAATTCCAGATTGACTGCTGCTCTCTGGGCACCTCAAACAGCAACAGCTGGGCGTCGACCAAGGGATCTCCTCTGCAAGAATAAAAACTTGGATGAAGGCAACACTTGCACGCACATCATTACGATCAAAGGTGACCAAAATGGGATGCAGTTTTAGGCAGCTATATGATGATACGTAGCATCTCAAGAGGATCAGCTAATGTGCACATATCCGAAGGAATGAATATCCTCAATATCCGACTGCGCTCAGTTCAAAAACTCCCACACTTCCTGCGACTGAACCGCTTATGTCCGAATACATCCACTTGTGGCTCCTTCGACCAAGACTGGAAGAACTAGTTCAGAACTACCTCCACTAGCCCAAATGTCCACCAGCACCTCGGTTTAAATCGCGCGGTCGAAGAGGTGTTGTGCTTAAATTTGCCAACACTTACGAGTACGGCGGTTGTATTGTAATTTGTGGGATCTTGAAACATACCTTGCCCAATCATCATCATCAGGCACATGCTGGTCATTCTGCAAGTGACAAATATATAAATATATATATATATATAGAGTTTCTTTACATTTTGTTCTTGTTCATCCTTGCTCCTATTTCTCGACGCCGTGTCTTGGTCTCCCCGAGACCGAAGCATCATCAGCTTGCAGCGAGATCTTTGTACACAAGCCGGCTGTGATGAACGCGTCGAAGGCGGCCTGGCGGCTGTGACGAGCGACGCCTTGGGTCGGTTCTAGCTGATTCTAGCTGTCGGATGCCGTCGCCCATATTTCTGGCCTACAGCTTGAGACGATCTGAAAATGCTTGTCGCTCATGATCCGCTGCGCTCATCAAAAGTCTCATGAACATTCAGTTCAGTCGCCGATCGGTCACCTCCCTTCTTTTTCTCAAGTCGCAAGCAGGGAGCTGTGGTACCTTATATAGCTCTGTCGGGCATCAGAAGCACTCTTCCGATATACGTTGGTAAGAGCACCTAGAGCCACTAGGAGGTGAACTCTGTGCACCGGCAGTGAAGAGAACTCTCAACACCCAGCCGGGAAATAGAACAAGTATCCAACTGACTCTATCTCGTGAGTATCCCACCCGGCCTCACACTCTCGACAAGGGTGACCCAACAGGACACCTGGCGATCCTCACCCGCCGGTCGGAGGTAACTAGCTCCTTTCGCTCCCTTTCCAGGGCGAAACCACCAAAAATCAATGAAGTGAACACCAAACTGTTTCAGGGGTAGGGTGGGTGGGCAAAAAAGAAATACACCTGAAGCCTTTTGGAAGCCTTTTGGAGTCACTTGCGCATGGACGGCGGCGGCGGCGGCGATGTACAAACATGTACACATGCAAGCATGCTCAAGGTTAAGAACAACTGACATGAATGATTCAGTGTCCACCATACCTGCCCTACAAGCACAAGACACTACAAGGCAAACTCATTGGCATGTGCAACTGCTGGTCCCGCCAGGCTAGCAAGGCCTGCAACTGACTGATGAGAAACTCAGCCTGCAATCTCTTCGCAGTCAAACATGTCAAGACATCCGTGGGGCGCTGTCAGAGCCTTATTTACTCTATTATACAATCTTTGTTTGCTAAAGGAAAGTGAGTCCCGTTAGGCCTGTTACGCAACATCATGCAACTCATTGAAATTGCCTCTTGATGGTTCGAAACGGTTGTGAGGGTTGCAAAAGGATGTTGCTGCAAGCAATGTTGCACACGGTGTCAATGTCACAACTTGGAGCCTTTGGGAGTACAAATCCAGATGCACCCTTGCTGGGCTCAGTCGGAACTTGTGTGCAGCGCAACCTTCAGCATCTCCTGCTTTAACGTGCTGGCCTCTTGAGAAGCTCTGATTGGTGGTGCTTGCGCCGGAATATCTTTCAACCTCACGGTATGGTTGACCTTGAAGACTGCAAAGTTTGCTCGACTAGCAGCAAAGCAAAGCGAATCAGGACTATGAGGACCCTGTCTTTAGAGTTCGCGCGCAAAAAGTATCGCTGGGAGATTGGCAATCTAGTTAGCAAAGAGCGTCCGAACCTTAGCCCGAACTCATCCACCACGCAAACAATGCTAAAATAGAGTGTGAGCCTCATCTGAACTGCCTGCCCCATGAGCTCTTCACGCACGCCTGAAGGCGGTTGCCTTTTCAGGCGCTGCTTCAAGTGCCTTGCCAGCTGCTGCGAGGTCGTTCGAAGTGTACTAAAGGAAAGAATGAAGGACAAAATGCAATGATGTGTATACATATATATATATATGTACGTATTCCTGCAGTGTAAAGCCAGAGGACGCCCCCTTACATCTGCTGTTGCTCTGGTATGCTGCCAACCCCGAGTGTAGCGTAAACCTGGCATTGGCAACTTTTCCCAAAGGCTATCGCAGTCCATTCACAAGCCACGGTTTTGTCTTCACTGAGATACTAGTTGCTCGTCTCACCCAACCGTTTCACGGGACCTTCAATACAAGGTGTCAAACAAACCAAAAAACCTTACCATCACAAAAATGCTTTCCAAGGTAAACCTTTAAACCGTTTCTGTAACAATCTGGCCTTTACAACAAGGCCTTGCAAACATGGCTTTGCTCAATCTTTTGCTCCAGCCTTATCAAAGCTTGTCGCGACTTAAACTTTGCCATTCGTGGGGTAAGTCAAGGCAAAGCTGCGATGAAGACTTTGCATCATTACGTGTATCATGCTGGTTGACGACACCGCACCTGAGAAGGGAGGGGACAAAAACCAGCCTCCCAGAAGACAGCACTCCCCCAAAACTGTGACAAAGCGATCAAAAAGGGCACCGCCACACGTGGCCTTTTCGTTGAGTCCGTTAGCCACCATGCGTTTCAGCCCGCCCTTTCTTTGGACCGCTTAGATTGTGATTTTTGTTCAGTGCGAAGCATGCCTGCTTGTCTCTACAGCGGAGCAGTGCAGAAAACGGTTTTGCTGATACCGCCCTCTTCTTTTGAAGTCTTCCCTCTTTACTTTACAGCTGACCGCATCCATATTTGCTGGTGAAGAACCACGCGCACAACTAGACAGGCTGCTGTCCACTTGAATTGTATTCTGGCCGCTTTGTGATGCTAATGATGCACTACTTCACCTTGACACCACTTGCATCACCAAGGCTTATAGATGCATTGTTGACCCGACCAGGGCTCACCCTACCGGCCAGGGCCATCCACGGGACCCCCCCCACACCTCCTAACTCTCACTTCTCGTGATGGTATTCACACCGCTTCGCGGTCGAAGCCGCCCGCGCAGAGTAAAGAGAAAACAAAGACACACACAGACTCCATGCATACAGACATACATACATGGGAAAAGCGTGTCATTACCACCCTACTGGCTCGGCAGCAACCTGCGCTGCCCATCTCGGTCTGTCGCTTGGGCAGGACACACGGACGAACAGTGTCCCCCGTGTTGCGCATACTACCGCGAGGTAACGCCATATCCCCT